TGGTCTTAGCAAAAGAGCTGAGGCCAGGGAAATGGTCAGGAGGGGCCAGATGGCTTGAGTCATGGGGGTTGGGATGGGCAGGCCAAGCCTTCAGAATGATGCTGGCTTTTCTGGGTGGGGGCTGAACTGTCAAGGTAAAATTGCTTCTGTTTCACTCAGGGGTCCCTGAGAAGGGACCATCTTCCAGTTTAGAGGTCATTCCTCTGGGAACACTCCCAGATATGGCCAAAGACCATTGGAGTTCAGAGAATCCTGAATGCTCCATTTGTCTTCCTCTGCCCCTCTAAGAGGCAGGATGACAGGGTGTCCAAGCCTGGTTTCTGCCACGGAAAGACTGTGTGTCCATGCACAAGTAACTGCAGCCTTCTGGACTGTAGTCTTCTTCTTCTTTCTCTCCTCCTAAAAGGGGTAGACTACAACTACAGGAGTTACCAAGAGCATTATATACCATAAAATAAGTTAATCCTATTTTGGATTTATTGAGCACCTATCATGAGCCAGGAAACATGTTAAGTGTTTTGCATGAGAAGTGCCTAACACATATAAGCTTGCAATAACAGATACCATTTTCTGTAGTAGTATTAATGATAGATAAGAAGGGGCTCAGCATAGGAATTGATTGGGACTCCCTCTCCCCTGCCGCCTGACCCTTTGCCCATGTCCTTGGTTTTCTAAACCCTTCCCTTGTGGGTTCCACCCTGACAGCTCTCTCCCTCTGACCTCTGGAGGCCCCCACCTTTCTCTGCAGGTTCAGGAATGGATCTAGGAAGTACTGGATGGGGGGCAGGGCAGGCGAGGCTGGGCAGGCGATTGGGCCGCAGAGGGAGGGAGGGAGGGGAGGGACTGAGGGCTGCACTGCAGAGACCAGCAGGCAGGCAGGGCGGCCTAGGGACACAGGATGGCAGGTGCGACCTCCACGCCCCGTTCCTGTTTTTGCTACGATCTTGACTTCCAACGGGCTGGGAGCCAGGGTCTCCTCGATTGTGGCCAGCAATGAGTCTGGGTATGAGTGGTCTGGGAAGGGGGACTACTTAGAATCCCCCACTTCGGGAAAATGGGTGAGGTGGGGGGGAGATGGAGGAGTCATTTGGCTGCATCCTTGGTTTGAAGAGGAGGGGGAGAGCCAAATCAGGTGTGTGAAGTACATAGGCAAAATAAAGAAGGGGTGCAGAGGAGGAGTACTCCAGCTGGGGAAGAGAGGTTGAGGTCATCTGTGCTCATCTCCCTTCCTCTGGTCTCCTGGGTGCCCTGTGTGCTACCTGCAATCCCCAAGTCTGCCACCAGGGCCCGCAGAAGCTCTATCCTTGCAGCTGGAGAACCCCTTGGTGAGGAAGATTGAGGGGGACAAAGCATGACTTTTGGCTTGGAAAGTCTTAGAAACTGTGAGGGAATGTTAGTACCCATAATGGAATATTAATGTCCGTCAGAGAATGTTGAGGATCCGTTCTAGAACGTTGGTGTCACTAGGAGAAGGCTGGTGTCATCCTTGAAATGTTGATATCACTCAGACATTTAGCATCTTAGTCATAGAATCTTTAAACCAGAGCGAGAGGTTCCCGGATTGGTAGAATCTTCGTAGAGAGGAAGGGACTTCCCCAGGGTCACACTTGCAGGGCGCTGTGTTAAAGAGAGGAGGTGAGGAAGGGCGGGAGAGCCGTGGGGATTTCCTTCCCCCTGCGGAGCCCTGTTCCTGGGCCCATCTCCAGGCATCCCCGCTCCAGGTTGCGGGAGAGGTAGGGAGCGTGGCTGGCCCGGTTTAGACCTGAAAGCCAGGAGAGACGCCTCGGGCGTTGGAGCTCCTGGGTGGCCCGGCAGCCGGCGCTCCCCCTCCTTCCAGATGACAATTTGTCGGGCACGAGCGGCATGGAGGTGGACGACCGCGTGTCGGCGCTGGAGCAGCGGCTGCAGCTGCAGGAAGACGAGCTGGCCGTCCTAAAGGCGGCGCTGGCGGATGCGCTGCGTCGCCTGCGGGCATGCGAAGAACAAGGCGCGGCGCTGCGTGCGAGGGGCACACCTAAGGGTCGGGCGCCCCCGCGCCTAGGCACCACCGCCTCGGGTATCCTGGTTAGGCTGGAGGGTTGAGACGGGGAGGGCCCGGCGCCTGGACCTCACACTCACTCTCTTCTGTCCTTCCAACCCCATCGATCCAGTGTGTCAGCTCTTGAAAGGCCTTCCCACCAGAGCACCCCTCAATGGCTCGGGACCCCCGCGGCGCGTGGGCGGCTATGCAACTTCCCCATCTTCCCCCAAGAAGGAGGCGAACTCCGGGCGCAGGTGAGGCACAGCAACCCGAATCCCCAGCCTCTGCGCCACTTTGTGAGATGGAAGATGTTCGTGTAGAGGAGAGATCCAAGTACCCAACTTCCAGTAGAGGGGTGCAGGGAGGCTCAGACCTGCAGGAGGCATTCTCCTGCTGGTCTTACAGGTTCTGACCCAGCACTGTGCTCTTTCCACAGTGGCCGCCGCTACTTGTCACCAGAGCGCCTCGCCTCCGTGCGTCGCGAGGACCCCCGCAGCCGCACCACATCTTCCAGCAGCAATTGCAGCGCCAAAAAGGAAGGGTAAGTATTGGGGCGGGGTCATGTCACCGAGGGTGGGGCCAGAACCCCAGACAGACAGGAGAATGGATGGAGAATTTAGAGTCAAGCTTCCGGTCACGGCCAGGAGATCATAATCTAAAGTGGGGTGAGCTAGTTCAGAACATTGCTTGAGCTGGTTTAGTCAAAATGGAAGGCCTGGAGGGGTGGAGCCAATGTCGAGGGGCGTGGTCCGAGCCTTAGGGACCGAACTGGAACACAGAATGCCGGCTGTCAGGGTCTTCTGGGTGAGCCGGAGAGGAAGTTGGGGAGGAGCCAGGCTCATGGGCGTGACCACTAAGGTAAAAGAGTCCCCTTAGAGTCTTGGGGGAGGAGTCAGGGCTGACACCCTAGAATTTATGCAGGGAATAGGGGAACCAGAGGGTGGAGTGTGGTTGGAATTTGAGGATGTGGCCAGAGTGATAGCCTGGACGGAATCAGAACCTCGGGTGAGAGAGTCAGAGGGGCTGGGACCAGGTGGGCACCTGCCAGATTTCGGGAGCCCGGCACCTAGTGAAATCAGGGGGAACTGTCAGGTGGAAATAGGCGTGACATGAAAGTTCGGAGAGCCATAGGGGGCGTGGTCCAACCTCAAGGGGTGGAGCCAACTTGGAGGACTTGAGAGAACTGATCACTGGGACTGGACCACATGAAAGTGGACGTGGCCAGACTGCCTGGTGGGGCTAGAGGAGAGTGGCTTAGGGGTTGGGGGAAGCTGTCCGTTATCTAGAGATTGAATCAACCCATGGGTAGGGTTGGGAGGAGACGGGTAAGGTCGCAACGTTGGGCGAGATCAATTCTTGAGAGGCGGGGCTATGCTGAAGATTTGGCGGAGTCAAAATCTAAGGGGCGGAGTCACGACGTAGTGGGTGTGGTCAGAGTTTAGAGGCTGGGCTAAGGCAGGACCAGAATTAAAACCCTGAGTTCACTTCCACTGAAATAACTGCAACCGCATTATGTGTTAACTTGGCCTAGTGGCGCACGCCTGTAATTCCAGCTAGGATTACAAGTTCGAGGCCAGCCTCAGCAAACCCTATTTCAAAATCAAAAAAAAAAAAAAAAAAAAGGTCTGGGGATGTAGCTCAGTGGTTAAACTCCCCTTGGGCTCAATCCCCAGTATTCCCCCCAAATTGTACTAAACACCACGTGCTTGCATGAATTAATTAATTTCATCTTCGCATCTGCTCGGGGAGGTGTAAGAACACTGACAACCCCCTCTTTAAACGAGGAACCCGTGCAGATGAGCAATAGGCAACTCAGTCACACCAATAAAAATAGTCAAAACTGGGGTCTGAGTTCAGGCAGGCGCGCTCCAGCGTTCGAGTTCTCAACCACTCTCCCTCACCCTCAAAAAAGAGGCTGGTATCGGGACTCCACAGGTCGGGATGTGGGACCCGGCGGCACCCGCGGGCTCCAGGGGTCGGCCGCGGAGGGCGGGGCAGGGTGCGGCGGCGCGGGCGCCTCCTAGGGCCGGAAGCGGCGGAGCCCGACCCGGCTCCACCCCCGGCCCCGAAGCTCCGCCAGCCGCCGCCATGAGTAGCTTTGGAGCCGGGTGAGACCCTCTCGCAGACCCCCTCCTCCCCGCGCTCCTGGGGCTTGGATCCCAGGCTGACCCTATCCCTGGGCCGCAGGTCCGAGCGCCTCACCCCTTTCGCCCGCCCACAGAGCGAGTGTGGAGACACGCCCCTTCCCTGCTTCTCTCGCTGCTTGAAGTTTGGGGAGATGGAGGGCTGGGGGTGGGGAGAGCTGGGGAGCACCGTGCTGTTTAAAAGGGAGGGGTCCCTGGTGACTCCCCTCTTCCAGGATTGCGTCCCTGCCACTTCGTGCTGTGTGATCTTTGGCGATCACTGCCTCTCTGGGCCTGTGTCTTAGGCTCTGCAAGATCAACCGAGCAAAGCACACGGCCTGCAGAGAGGCAGCGCTCCGCTCCTTACTCGCCCCCCGTTATTCGTCAGAGACCTCCAGCGAGCCGTGGGTGGGGGAGTAGCTCCTGATCTTTTCTGACCTGCCTACAAAAACAATTTTTTCTTCTTTTCTGCGTCCTTTCCTGACAGCAAAACCAAAGAAGTTATCTTCAGCGTGGGTGAGTGGTCAGAGCAGGAGGGGATTGCAGGGTGGCAGGCCAGAGCTGGAGGTCATGGGACCTGGCTCCTGGGTCTTTGCTTCTCTGGCCTCAGTTTCTCCACCAAAGGGGGTGGGAATAAGACTGGGGATGCTGTCCACCCTGACCTCTGGGGGTGTCTTGGCAGAGGATGGCTCCGTCAAAATGTTCCTGAGAGGCCGCCCTGTGCTCATGCTAATCCCGGACGACCTGGCACCCACCTACAGCCTGGACACCCGCTCAGAGCTGCCACCATGCCGGTTCAAGCTGGATTGGGTGTATCCTTTGGCTTTAACCCCTCTCTGGGTGCTAGGCGCCATCAGGGGGAGACAGAAGTCTCCGTTGGTGAAGGACTTCGGCACTTCAGTGGGACAGAGGGACAACAGTATTGAAACTGGGGCTTCCCAGGCCTCTGTAGCTGGGGGTGAGGAAGACCATGGCACCCAAGAGCAGAGGAAAGCAGGTCAGCCCAAAAGGACCTTTTCCAGTTCATTAGGATGGCAAATGTTTGCTAAGTGCTTTCCAGATGTTGGATCCTCTTCTACCTGTGGGGCAGGGCTTCTAAGTGCGGAGACAGAAGAGAACTCAGAAATCATGGATTAAATAAATAAGATCATTTCACTTAGGAATAAAAGTTGGGGACGCCATAACCTGGGGTCCTGTGGGGGGAGCACTGGGGGCTTCTCCGTGGCAGAAAGTACATTTGAGCTGAGAGCTGTACACAGGTCCAGGCAGAGGCCTCAGTATGTGAAGGACTCTGGCCATCGGGACCTTGATGTGTTTGAGAAACATAAAATGCTGGGAATGGACAGGAGCCTGGCTTTGGAGCCTGGTAGGAAATGGTTCAAATCCCAGCCCTGCCCTAGCTGGCTGTGAGACCCTGGATAAGTCGTCTTACCTCTCAGTGCTTCAGTTGCCTCTTCTGGAAAATAGGTTTCACCATCTCAGATTTATAGGACTGAAGTAATGTGGAAAAGTGCTGAGCTCATAGTTTGTGCCCTCTACACAGCGGTTGGTAAAATAATAGCTAGTCTTTATCAATCCCTTGTTGCATGACAGGCAAGGTTCTAAGTTCGCCCATGTATAAACACACTGGAGAAGATTTTTACAACTGGTGGCCCCAAGAGGGGACCACAGGCCTGTCCTGGGAAGTCAGAGCAGGTCTGAAGCAAGCGCTCTGACTCTGGGCCTGGAGCTTTTTCCAAAGAGCCCAGGGGCTTAGAATCCATGCTCCAGGAACCCAGTTCCTGCCTCCTTCTCCATGGGCCTTGGTTTCCTTTCCAGAGGCCTCTGGGTGCCCACAGACTTCTGCAGACAGCTGGAAATACCCCCAGGAATGCGGCCAAACCGTCCCGTCAGGAGGACTTGACAGACTTGAAAGTTGGCTAAGACTACAGGAGTCACTGTGGACCTCAGCTTGCCCGACTCCGTGATGACTGCAGGCAGAGCGGCTTCTATGGGGCCAGGATGTGTGCTCATTTTGAACATCTAGGACAGAAGGTTGGGGACACAGCAGTGACCACTAACAGTGGCCACCTGCCCTGCTGGAATTCACAGTCCAGTGGGGAATGAACTTATTGGCAGTGACAACCCAGAGTGCCCGAGCCCTGATGAGGTAAGGACAGAGGGAGTCAGCCTGGAGCCAGGGAGGGCTTCCCGGAGGAGGAAGTACAGATGTGAACAGAACAGCCCTGTCTCAGTGCCATGGGCCTCCCTGGACAGTTATGACATAAACCAGATTGTCACCAAGTGCGGTGAGTCCAGCGAGGACCTGAGCCAGAGAGCAGCTCTGAGGAGGTGATAGCCGCGAAGGCTGTGGAAGAGTGGACCAGGCAAGGGAAAGGTTAATGCCCGGGCCTGGAGGGCAGGAGGTCATGACTTTGGCATTTTAAGGAACTCCAAGGTCAGAGAGCAAGGAAGGCAGCAGCCCTGAGGAGACTGGGAGGGGCCCTGGGAGACCACAGTCTTCAACAGGGGGAGACAGTGAACTCATGGTTGTCCACAGGGTGCCAGGTCCTGACCTAGGCACAGCGGACACTCGGTGAGCAACACAGACAGATCTCAGCCCTCCTGGAGAGTCACTCTAGATGATGACGTGGAGTGCAGAGTGCATTGGAGATGGGGAGAGGGTGGGTGGCGTTGCAGGAAGACCCTCTGTAGGAGCTGACGGTTGAGCTGAGACTGAGGGGACGGAGAACTGAAGGAGAAGGGTACCCAGGTTGTGGGATCGGCAAGTGCAAAGGTCCTGAGGTGAGAACAGGGAAGAAGCTAGTGTGAGTGGAACTGGGCATGTGGGAGGGGAGCAAGGAATTGGGGCCCAACTGGGCCAGGCCTGGACCTTTTTTTTTTTTTCTTATACTGGGGATTGACCCCAGGGGTGCTTGACCACTGAGCCACATGGCCAGCCCTTTGTATTTGAGACAGAGCCTTGCTAGGTTGCTTAGGGTCTTGCTAAGTTGCTGATACTAGCCCCAAATTTGTGATCCTCTTACCTCAGTCTCCCAAACCACTGGGATTACAGGTGTGTGCTGCCGTGCCTGGCTGTTATGGGTTTTCATAGGATTCCTGTTGTGGATTCAGGGGGGTGGCTCTTTATTTTCCATGCGCCAATTGCTACAGACTTGGTGACTTAAAATAACAGAAAAAAAAAATTTTTTTTTTTTTCTGACAGTTCTAGAGCCCAGAGTCCAAAATCAAGGTGTTGGCAGGGGGCCCACACCCCTTCCAGAAGATTTGGGAAAAATCTGTCCCTTGTTACCTCTTGGCTTCAGGTGGCTGCCAGCCATCCTTGGGCTCCTGGGCTTGTAGCCTCCTCACCTCAACCTCATCTTCACGTTGCTGCCTTCCACCCCCTCCCCCATATCTCTGTTTTCCCCTCTGTGCCTTACAAGGACACTTGTTGGATTTAAGGTCCACCTAACACCCAGATGATCTCATCCAGAAATACCTAATTACATCTGCAAAGACCCATTTTTCCATATAAGGTCATAATCACAGGTTCCAGGGGCTAAATACCAGGCCTATTTTTTGGGGGGAGACCATCATTGAGCTCATTGCAGGGGTGGGAGTGGAGGCAGGAGAACCAGATCCCGCTGACCCTGGGTCCGGGGCCAGCACACGGCGCATGCGCTCCTTAACAGGCTAAGCTATGGCTACCGTGGCCGCGACTGCAGGGCCAACCTTCACCTGCTGCCCACGGGGGAGATCGTGTACTTCGTGGCCTCCGTGGCCGTGCTGTACAGCGTGGAGGAGCAGAGGCAGCGGCACTACCTGGGACACAATGACGACATCAAATGGTGAGCGGCTCAGGGCGGAGGTCAGCCCCACCCGCTCCTGGGCCTCTTTCCACACCGCTGCCTCCTGCCTCCGCCGAGTGGGGCCGGGCAGAGCCATTCTGCAAGCTGCCAGCGGCCCTGAGGCAGGTTTCAGTGGAGAAATGTAGATGGATGATTAATATTTCAAGGGTGGGTGACTTCATTCAATGCCTGGATTTTTTTTTTTTTCTCTTCTTTTGAAAAGCCCAAACTGATACCGCGGTCGGAGGTTTGGAGCCCGGAGGCGGCCCCCTTAAATCTTCCTGTTTTCCTGGCCACTATTTTTAGTCTGGACCTGAGCCCCCTGGGGCATTGGAGTTACAGACTCAGGCCTGAGTCTCCCTTCTAATATCCCTTTATTGCTTTTGAAGGACTAAATCAATGTTTATCGACTACATAACTCAATTAACTAGTTTGCGGAATGCATAGCCAGGCATGGTGACTGTGGCCTGCTGCAGGAGGGTCCTGGTCCCTGGGAGCCCTTATGTCTGTCCATTTGTCCCCTCTCCCCTCAGCCTGGCTGTCCACCCGGATATGGTCACCATCGCCACAGGACAGGTGGCAGGCACTACCAAGGAGGGGAAGGTAATGGAGCCCAGGGAGCCAGGGGGGGAGAGGGTGGGACACAGCCAGGGCCCCCAGGTAACAGGCCTCTCTCTCTACCCTGCAGCTGCTGCCACCCCATGTGCGCATCTGGGACTCGGTATCCCTGTCCACCTTACACGTGCTGGGCCTGGGGGTGTTTGACCGAGCTGTGTGCTGTGTGGGCTTCTCCAAATCTGTAAGTCCTTTGCCCACCCTGAGCCACCTCAAGGGCAGGTCAAGGGCCTGTACCTTCCTGCCTGCTCCCTGCCCCATGGAGGACTAGCCCCCAGTATGATGTCCCCGAGGTGGGCCACAAATGCCAGTCTCTGGGACCCAGAGGCTGCCCAGTTCCCTATCTTTAGGCAAGCACGCAGCCTGGTTTGCTGCAGACCCTCGGCGTCTCCCTGTAGATCAGGTGGTGCCTGTTCTCATTCTCTGGAGGATATGACCTCTTGGCCATTTTGGGCCTAGTGTGGCTCCCTGGTGCCCAGATAAGCCCAGAAAGCAAGAGTAAGCCCTGAGGAATTTGTTGAGCAACTGGACATTCCCATAATGCCCAAACATGTGAGGGATGGACTTTTTTAAAGTCATATTTTACATTTTTATCATAACTTTCAGAAGCATTGCTCTGCGATGGACTGGGGAGTGAAAAACAAGCCTTCCCCCCACAGATAGGTTAAGGAGCTCGGGATCACAGCTACAGATTTCTTGAGGCCCAAGGACACATTTCAAAGTTTCAGAACAGAAAAGCTCTACTGAGGCCAAAGCATGACTGGGGGGTAGAGGGAAGACCCCAAAACTCTACGCAACTCTGTCAGTGCAAAATTAACAAGAGGTACAGAAAAAACCGACTTATACCAACCATCCTAATGGTTGGATTTCACACATGTAAAGTCCTGCCGTTTGCAAACACACTTTAGATGGTATCAGCCAGGAGTCCCTGCTCTGCATGCGGGCTGCAGGGAAATCCAAGCTAGGGATCAGTCATTTCAAAAGGCCAATTATAAAAACCCTTTGAGGGACTGAGTGGCAGAGCACCTGCCCAGTGTGCAGGAGGCCCTGGGTTCAATCTGCAACACCACAAAGATAATTTTCGGGTCCCTAATGGGGGAGTATTTTAGTGTGTCTCATGCATGGGCCGGGGCCTTAGAGAGACTAAAACAGGCCTGCGAATGCCCCAGGGTCACCCTGACCTGCCTGTCCCCCTCTGTAGAATGGAGGCAGCCTGCTGTGTGCTGTGGACGAGTCCAACGATCACATGCTCTCCGTGTGGGACTGGGCCAAGGAGGCCAAGGTGGTGGATAGCAAGGTGGGGAGACCATTACCCCCTCCCCTGGGTGCCCCTAGGGGACATGTCCATCCTGGGAGTTAGGACTTTGGCATCAGGTAAATTTATGTCTAAGGCCTGACTTTGCCATTTGCTGGTCATGTGACTTTGAGCAAGGGACTTCCCCTCTTTGAGCCTCAGTGGCCTCATCTGTAGAATGGAGATAAAGGTAGCATCCTCCTCCCAGGGCCCTAGTGAGGAAGTTGGGACACTGTGTGGGTGGAGCAGGCCCCCACAGAGGGCAGTATGAGATGGCCCCCGACTAGGAGAGGTCCTGTCGTGCCCAAGATGGACCTTGATTGGCATCTGTGGGCAATGCCTATTTTGTAGGTGACTCATGACAGGGAGAGAGATACTTGCCCATGGTTACCTGCCCAGGTTGGGGGCAGGAAAACTGGGTTCAAGATTGGGCTTGCTGCCTGGGGAAGGCGATATGGTCGAGAGGCTAAGCTCTGGAGTCAGCCTGAGTGAGTTGGATTCCAGATACATATCTAGCTGTGCGGCATTAGGCAAGCAGCTTGCCCTCTCTGATCCTCATGTCTTCATCTGTAATGGGGGTTGGGGTGCTAGTAGATCTTGTCCCCCAGAGTGCTCTGAGGATTGAATGAGTTAGTGGATGGAGCTTAGAAAAGTGCTTAGTTCAGGGCAGAGGCTCTCAAAGTGTCAGCCAGGAAGATGAGAATGCTTCTCGGCCTGGTCCTGCCTCCTGCACTTGAGTTTGCCATACAGGGAAGGTAGGGGCAAGTGGGTACGCACCGCACAGCCCTCACAGCTGTGTGGGGAGCTCCTGTGGGGGTGGGATGGTTCCCCTGGAGGCTGCGAGATGTTCATTCGGAGTCTTCCCCACCCCACAAAGTGCTCCAACGAGGCTGTGCTGGTGGCCACCTTCCACCCCACCGACCCCAGCCTGCTTATCACCTGCGGGAAATCCCACGTCTACTTCTGGACCCTGGAGGGCGGCAGCCTGAGCAAGCGGCAGGGCCTCTTTGAGGTGAGTGCCAGAGGTGCAGGGACCAGCTGGCCCTGAGAGGCAGGCAGGGTACCCAGGCAGACACCCCGACAGCCCCGAGGGTCCCAGAGGCTTGGAAGTTCAGGGATGCTGAGCTCTTGCAGGAGGGGTCTCCAGACCATGGCGGGTGGGGTGGGGGCTGTTAACGCTGGAGCCATGAGGATTCAATGGGACGGGGAACATAATGGCTCCTAGGGGACAGTAAATGCTCCATAAACGGGTCCTACGCTGAGAGACACAAGCTGAGACTGAGCAGGAAGCAGAAGGCCCGGGGGGGGGGGGGGGGGGGGGGGGGGGGCCAGAGGGAGCACTCTGAGGACATCGGGCACAGCTGGAGACGTGGAGAAGAAGGTGGGCAGAGGCAGGAGGGGACCCAGAGGAGGCAGGACAGGCAGGAGGCCGGACAGATTGCAGACAGAGATGGGGAGACCGGTCAGGGAGCGGAATGGGAGGCAGGAAGGGGCCCAGGTGCACAAGGGAGTCCATGCGGTCGTTACTCCAGAGACCTGAGCACTTCCAGGTGGGCGATGGGATACCCCGCCCGGGATCGCACACCCAGAAGCATAGTGGGGACCCCGGGGACCGCAGTTCTGGATGTAGGTGACCTCCCTGCCTCAGCCACACTCTGACACCTCCCCCTCTTTCTCCCCCTTAGAAACACGAGAAACCAAAGTACGTGTTGTGCGTGACCTTTTTGGAGGGTGGTGACGTGGTCACTGGAGACTCCGGGGGGAACCTCTATGTCTGGGGCAAAGGTCAGTATCACCCCATCTGTGTGTCCCCAACCCGGTTCCCCGTCACCCTGTGCTCTGCCTCCTTTCTTTAACCCTGCTCATGGGGAATGAGCGACATGGTGGGGGGAAGCCTTTCCGTCCAGTCCAGCGCACTCCTAGGCTCAGCCCCGAGAGCCCACCTCCAGGAATCTCACAGATTCCTCCGGCCTCGTCCTCCGAAAATCCCATATGAGGGGCCAAGTCTGAACCTTGAACTCAGTTGTAGATGGAGGCGTGAATGGATGCCCCGGTGGGTGGGTGGATGGGTGGGTGCACAGAGGCTTTGTCCCAGTCTGCGGATCAGTGGATGAATGAAGGGGTCATCCCAGGGAACGAGTGGAAGGATGAGTAGGTGCGTCTATGGATCGACTCGAAAGGCGGGTGCTTGGGAGTCCACGGCCATATCACCCCGAATGCGCCTGATCCTGTCTGAACATTCAGATAAATGAGTGGCCCTCGCACTAGTGGACAGGCGTGTTAATGAGTGACTTGGCCTCCTCCCAGACGGTGTGTCTGTAAAATGGTGCAGGAATGTGTGGGTGCCTGGATGGCCGTTCAGCCCTTGGACGAGGGTGTTGAAGCAGATTGTTCCGGGGCAGGGGATGTGGCACAGTGGGACGGCGCTTGCCTGGAACTCTCAAGGGCTCGGTTCCACGCCAGAACCACAAAAACAAGAACAAAATAAGAGCGTAGATGTTCCAGGGGGCAAGGTGCTATCCGCCTGTAACCTCAGCCACCCGGGAGGCTGAAATGGGAGGATTTTTTGGGGAGGATGGGGTAGGGATTGAACCCAGGGCCTCTTAACCACTGAGCCACACCCCAGCCCTTTTTAGGTTTATTTTGGGCAGGTCTTACCAACTTGTCCAGGCTGGCTTGGAACTCAGGATCCTCCAGCCTCAGCCTCCCAAGTAGCTGGGATTACAGGTGTGCATCACTGTGCCTGGTCAAAAAAAATTTTAATTAATCAATGAGTTGTCCTGGTCAGGGTTCAAGGGGTGAATGAAAGTTTGTCTGGCTAAATGGGTGAACAAAAGAATGAATGGGTTATCACTGTCAGTGGAAAACATGACAGAAGCAAGTTTTTGGCCTGGGTGCATTTGCTTTTCCATACATTATACTTTTCATTTAGGACTGTGCTGAAAACTATTCACATTTCACAGATGAAAACAATAGGCTCAGAGAAGTGCAGCGACCCAGCAGATGGCCGAGCTGGGCAGCCAGGGCACTTGGTCTCTAAGGTTCCTCCCTTTTCTATTCCATCTGTCACTCTGCTCTGCTCTTGGCCTATAGGAGATAGGCCTGAACCAGGCATTGCTCTGTGACCTTGGGTAAAGTCTTTTCCTCTCTGAGCTTCAGATTGCCTGTCTGTAAGCCAACTGAGAGACAAGGATTATCTTCAAGTGCCACTTCTGCTGACTTGGGGGTTCTTGGTCCCTGGTGCGGTTACCCCATCAGGGCTGTGCAACGGGAGGGAAGTTGGTTTAGGAGCTGGGACAGCCTGGGTTCAGGTCCCAGAGGAGTAGTGTGCACTCTGTGTGGCCTTGGGAGAGTCATATCCTCCTAGGACTCAGTTGCCACCTCTATAAAATGGGTACAATACCACTACCTGCCTATAGCGTTATTCTGAATTTCCCAATGGAGTCTGGTACATCCGCACACCTCCAGGCCCATCACTAGGCCTGTCCTGCAGAGATTCCAAGTTGATGGATGGGTGGAAGAGGAGACACCCCTGAGGCTTGGGGGACAGGGAAGAGCTGGGTGTCCTTCCTTCCCCACCACAGCCTCCTCCCTGGTCTCAAGCCTTACCCCCTCCAGTTCAGATTGTTCCAGAAACAAATGCAAAATGTGACCTGCCTCCCCTCCAGGGCTCCCTCACGCTCTGCCCTGCCTCCTCCTGTCCCTGTCCTGATGCTCTGGCTTTTGTGGGTATGCGCAGTCACGCCAGACTTCTCCCAGGTCCCTAGATAGTGCCTGCTCTCGCTGCTCTCTGCCTTCATAACACAAGGCTGCTCTTCCCGTCTGGAACGTTTCTTTTGTCCCAGCAACTTCCACTCAGCCTTGAGGTCTTTGCTCAGCCAGCACTAACCAGTCCACTGATTGGCAGTGGGTCCGTCTCGGCTACTGAACTGAGATGGGAACTGGGTGGGTGAGGGGTGGATGGGTAGCTCAGTAGGCAGACCGGCGGCTGGATGGATGAGAATGAAGGATGGAGGGAGGGTAGAAGGAAGGGTGGATGGACCGGTAGACGGATCAGTGATGACGAGGTGGGAGGTGGGTCAATGCGTAGATGGTGGCTAGGTGGTTGGATGGACAGATGGGCAGATAGGCGAGTGGATGACAGCGGGTAGGCACCAGAGTCCACGGGCGGCAGGTGGGTTGTGGGGGGGGGGGGGGGGGGGGGGGATGGAAAGCTGGAGAACTGGCGGGAGTTTTTTTAAGTCCCTCTCGGGTCAGCCCAGGGCAGCTTCCCCGCTGCGTCGCCCCTGCAGGTGGAAACCGCATCACACAGGCAGTGCTGGGTGCGCACGATGGCGGCGTGTTCGGGCTCTGCGCCCTGCGGGATGGGACGCTGGTGTCCGGAGGGGGCCGCGATCGGCGGCTGGTCCTCTGGGGCTCTGACTACAGCAAGCTGCAGGAGGTGGAGGTGAGGAGGGGGGCGCACGGGGGCGGCGCGGAGGCCACACCGAGCAGGGCTCCTGGAGCAGCATACCCCCCCCATGCGTCCTACGCCATCTGCCCACTCAGGTCCCTGAGGACTTCGGCCCTGTGCGCACCGTGGCAGAAGGCCGGGGGGACACGCTGTACGTGGGGACCACCCGCAACTCCATCCTGCAGGGCTCCCTGCACACCGGCTTCTCGCTGCTCGTGCAGGTGAGCGCCTTCCTCTGCGGCTGCGGCTCTGGTCCTCCCGCCAGTGTCCCCTCATCTGACCGCCGGTCCCTTCTCCTATAGCCTGACAAACTTCACCTACCGTCCTTTGACCTGTCCCCCCTCACAAACTCACCCCGCCCTGGCCCTGACCCAGGACTCCCCAGAACCACCTGTGATACAGCTGCCAAAGGTACCCAGCACCCCGATGCAACCGCTGCCACCTGCCCTTATGATTGGGGGTGGCATCTTCCTGTCTGGTTAGTAAGTTCCCTGGCAGTTGTCACACCGTCACAAAAGCCACACACCTGCTGTGGTTCCAGGATGCGGCCCTCCTGGGATCTGATTTCTTCTTGCAGCTCAAATGGCCATTCCTTCCTTTCTGGGGTGCCACACCCCTGCCCCACCCAACTGAAAACCCTCATCCCAGGAGGCAGTATAGTAGAGTGGTTAGGAGCATGAATTCTGGGGGGGACTGCCTGGGTATGAATCACAGCCCCATTCATTAGCTGTGTGATATTGGACAAGTGAGTAACCTCTCTGTGTGTCTGTAAAATGAGGAGAATAACAGAAGCAAATGCATAGGGTTTGGAAGGATTCTGTGAGTCACTTCATATGCAGCATTTAGAATGGTGCCTGACGCAGAGTAAGTGCTCCCAGGGTCTTGACCAACCTTCCTCCTTGTTTAGGGGTCCCCCCATCCTTCACCTATTCCCTGAATTTTCCCACAGATAGTCTAGCTGAATTCTGTGCTGCTGCATTTAGGTCCCCCTCTGGCCTTGGTTTCCATATGAAGAAAATGAAAGAAAGCAAGGGCTGCAAGAATTTTTCTAGATGTCCCAAGGCCAGAAGGACTCTAGAAACCTCTAATAATACTACTTATGTTAGCTATTATAATTATTAATATGTGTGAATATAACTAATTGTGTGATTATCAATTATCAACCATGTCAATTATTACCATTATGATTATTGTCATCATTAATAACACTTATGTTTTATGTGATTAATAATAATAATAATATAGCTACTCCCATTTCATGGGCTGGGCACAGCTCTGAGCTAGACTTAGTTTTTTTTTTAAGTTGTTTTGTTTTTTTAGTTGGACACAATACCTTTATGTTATTCATTCATTTTTATGCGGTGCTGAAATCAGACCCAGTGCCTTGAACATGCTGGGCAACCGCTCTGCCACTGAGCCCCAGCCCAGCCCCATCCATGACCTGAGTGAACTCAGTAACACCCGCTGTGAGGCACACAGAGATTGGCCCCATTTTACAGAAGATAAAACTGAGACTCAAGGAGAAGTCCCCCCCTCGATGACTGGCTACCAGTTAGTAGGACAGGGCTGAGGTCCCCAGGCTGGGACCCTCCATGAGGCCTGGGCTCTGGGTGGCTCCAGGAGGACTTCAGGAGGCCCTTCCCAGGCCCATGGAGCTGGAGCCCCGGGTGTGTCCAAGGTGGGTGCAGCTGGAGGTGCCAGGCTCTGAGCTCCACTCTCTCCTGCCTCCTGTTGGGCAAAGAGAAAGGTAGAGGCCTGGGAGAAGGGGGCAGGATTCACCCCAAGTCACACTGGGGCAGGAGTCATCTGGTTATGGGGGAAGGTCGTGCTGGGGAAAGGTCTCCCTGAGTCACCTGGACAGGGTGAGCTGCTGGGCTGGTCCAACACTCCTTCCTGGCACCAGGTGTGGGTATGGAAGGCCAGGATCCCAGTCTGCATTGTGCTCTCTCTCTTTCCTGCAGGGCCATGTGGAAGAGCTGTGGGGCCTGGCCACACACCCCACCCGTGCACAGTTTGTGACCTGCGGGCAGGATAAGCTGGTGCATCTGTGGAGCTCAGAGTCTCATCAGCCACTATGGAGCAGGCTCATAGAGGTGAGGGGACAGGGGACCGGATAGACCCTTCTACCAGAACCCCCCATTCCACACCTCATGGCTCAGTGCATTGGGGAGAGACCACACAGGTCTCTTTAAGCGGAGGGTATTTAATGTAGGGATTGGGTGCTTACAGACTCCCTCTGGTGAGGCTGGAGAAGCCAGTTCTGGATGGAATGAAGCCCAGAGCTGACGAAGGGAAACTGGCAACAGTCAGAACAGTGGGGAGTCAGCAGTCATGAGCTCAAGATCATGTTGGGGGCCAGGCCTGGTGGCGCACGCTTGTAATCCGAGCAACTCAGAAGACCTAGGCAGCCAGCCTCAGCAATTTAGCCAGGCTGTAACAACCTAGTGACACCCTGTTTCAAATTTTTAAAAAGGGTTGGGGATGTGGCTCAGTGGTTAGCACTCTTGGGTTCAATCCCTGGTACCAAAAAAAAAAAACTGTCGAGACGGGGTGCGGCTCAGTGGTAGAACTCTCGCCTCACCTTCAGTAATCCCTGGGTTCGGTCCCCAGGACTGCAGAACCACACCAGACCAAACCAGGAACATTCTGTCATCACTCCAAGAGCTGGGAAGCTGCCACCAGCCCCCTGCAGCTGGTGACTCCAGAGCTAACCTGTCCTTGATAACCACTGGCCACCCATAGCTATTCCAACTTAAACTGATTAAAAGTGCAAATAAAATTAAACTTAATTCCTTAGTTGCATTAGTCACATTTCAAGAGCTTGGTCATCTCATATGGTTAGTGGCTACCATATTGGAAAGAGCAAGAAAGAACATCTCTGGGGCTGGGATTGTGGCTCAGTGGTAGAGCGCTCGTCTAGCGCGTGCGAGGCCCTGGGTTCGATCCTCAGTATCTCATAAAAATAAATAAGTAAAATAACGATATTGTGTCCAATGACAATTAAGAAATAAATATTAAAAAAAAAAAGAACATCTCTGCTGCCACAAGGTCCTTTTGGACTGTATCATGTTAGATCTACTCAGTGCAGGCTAGATTAGCCAAAAACAGATATGCTCTGTTCCTGCCTTTCAGTGTGCTCAAGGCGAGTGACTGCACCTGGGGTATTAGTACAGCAAATCCCATTGCTTTCATGACCCAACTGGTCAGCAGCATGGCAGAAGAAGAACTCTGCCTTCTGCCTTTCAGAACCTGCAAAAATGCAATGGATTAGCTGGACATGGTGGTTCATACCTGTAATCCAGGGACTCAGGAGGCTGAGGCAGGAGGATCACAAGTTCAAGGCTAGCACCAGCAATTTAGGAAGACCCTCAGAGATTTAGAAAGACCCTGTCTCAAAATAAAAAAATAAAGGGCTGGGGTCGTAGCTCAGTGTAGAGTGCTCATCTAGCATGTGCAAGCCCCTGGGTTCGATCCTCGGTACTACATAAAAATAAATAAATAAAATGAAAGGTATTATGTCCATCTACAACTAAAAAAATTAAAAATAAAAAGGATATAGCTCTATGGTAAAGCACCCCTGAGGTTCAATCCTCAGACCCCCACAAAAAAAGAGCAATGGATTGTCAGACCCAAATCTCAGCTGAATTCTACCTGCAAATGATTTGGAAACGCCATTTTTTAGCTCCCTGCCTATGCAGGATGAGAAGACATGAAGAAGGAAGGAGGTCAGCTCACTGTATCCCCAACACTGTCCTGTGAGGCTTTTCTTCTAGAATCCTTCCAGGGTTTCCATGGTCCTGAAAAACTGTGCCCTTAGAACTGCTGGGAGTGGAGGATAACGTATACCCTGTCATTGTTAGGAACGTGTAATATAATCTTCATCTCGGCTATCTTAATCGAGCACCTACTATATGCCAAGCCCTCCCCCAAACCTTTCAGGGCAGTAGGGATGATAGATCCCCACTTAGAAACAGGTTCAGAAAAGCAAAATTACTTGCCCAACGTCATGGTGTAGTTGTAGGCGTAGCTAATCTTGATTGAGAGCTTAGTGTAGGCCATCTTATTTACTAGCTTGCCATTTTAAGGACTTTACAGCTTTTTATAATGATTCTGGAAAGTGTGTATTGGTGATCTCTATTTGCCAGATGAAGAAGTCAAGGCTTGGACAGGGAAAGTTATTTGGTGTCACTCACAGACAGTGTTGGAGTCACAGAGTGAACTACAGATCTACCTTGACTCCATGCTGCTTTTTTGCCCATGAATCAACCAAATGTCCCCTAAATAAAAATTAAAAATTATAACAGCCCATGCTGATAAAGATGTGGGGAAACAGGCACTCAGACACAACTGGTGGTAAGCTGATATACTTTTATGGAAGGCAAGTTGGCATTATACATCAAAAACCTTAAAAATATGAGAACCTTTTGTCCTAACAGTCCCACCTCTAGGAACTCACCTAAGGAAGTCTCCTTGGATGAATAAAAGCTGTGGGAATTTAGAACAGGAGGAAAAAAGGATCAGGAGTCAGCAGTGACGGGAGGAATGTTTTCTGCCCGGGCTGCGTGCTCTAGGAAGGGGAATGGTTTCCAGGGCATCTGGCGCAGTGGGTCCTGGAAGGCAGGAAAGGGAGGTGAGAACCCTCATGTCAGGCTGAGGCCACCCGTGGTCGCAGGACTCCAACTCTGAGCCCTGCCTTTTCTCTTCCTTCTCAGGACCCTGCGCGCTCAGCTGGCTTCCATCCCAGTGGCTCTGTCCTAGCGGTGGGCACAGTGACTGGCAGGTAAAGGTGGGCACAGTGACTGGCAGGTAAAGCTGAACATTTGGGGAGGCTTCTCCTGACCGAGAGCCCCACACCCTTATCTTCTACCCAAAGTCCATAGACATGTTAATTAGGCGCTCCCTACATTCTTTTGGAGTCAGCCTTTCCTACATCTCTGCTGGGCCCTCTGATCCCTCCCTGGACCCCACGCATTGCTGTCCCTCTGCACCATCAGCTCACCGCTCCCCTACCATGTCTTCTCCTTAAAGATGGCTGCTGCTGGACACCGAGACCCATGACCTGGTGGCTATCCATACAGATGGCAATGAACAGATCTCAGTGGTCAGCTTCTCCCCAGGTAAGGCGCTGCCCTGGGACCCTGGAGAGGCAGGCCTGGGGACACAGGCTCAGTGTTAGAGAAGCAGGTGGAGCAGGTGGAGCCAGTGCCTCCTAACTTGGAAGGGATGATAGTGGGTGGGGCCTGGGACTGTCGAGGAGGGGCTGAATCTGGGAGAGGAGGGGGCAGAGCCTGGGTTCCTCCTCATAGCCCCTCCCCTCCCCCAGACGGGGCGTACCTGGCCGTGGGCTCCCACGACAACTTGGTGTACGTGTACACGGTGGACCAGGGCGGCCGCAAGGTCAGCCGCCTGGGCAAGTGCTCGGTGAGTGGGCAGTGGCCCCAGCCTGCGCCGCCACCCCGCCCACAGGGTGCAGAATTAACCACTTTTCTACCCCAAGGGATCACAGCTTCAGCTCTCAACTGACTTTGCCCGGACCACCTCCAGGAGCCTTAGCCCGCCAGCGCACCCCTCCTGTCTTCTGAGCTCTCCCCCTCGTGTGGCCCCGCCCCCAGTCCCCCCCCCCACCCCCCCCCCCTGTGGCCCCGCCCCTCAGTCATCTGCGAAACGTCTGTGTGGTCCCACCCCCTGCATTCGAAGTCCGCGGATCTAGCTCTGCCCACTTAATCCTAATTGGCGTTGTCTTCTAAGCGCATTTTGTCAGCCCCGCCCATTGGAGTATGGCCCCGCCCACGGCGGTCTGACCCCGCCTCCCACGCTCGGGAGCCCATATCCCTCTCTGGCCCCTTGTGTTCTCACCCTCCCTCTGTATTTTGCCCTTCCTACTCTAATTGTGCCCCCTGTCCCTGGTTCTGCCCTCTCCCTCTCTGACCGCCCCTTGCGTCCCCCACAGGGACACTCCAGTTTTATCACCCACCTGGACTGGGCCCAGGACAGCAGCTGCTTTGTTACCAACTCCGGAGACTACGAGATTCTGTACTGTGAGTTCCCTGGGACCCAGCGTCCTTCCTTCCTCGGCCTGTTGGTTCGCGTGTGTGATTCGCATAGGTCTCCAGCGGGTAGGAGGCGAGTTCTGCGGCGGGTAGGAGGCAGGGGCTTCGGGTCTCTCTCTGGCTGTCATTCAGGGGACGTTGTGATTTGGAACTCAGGAGCCCCTGCATTGGATTTCCTCTCTGATTGGATGGGCAGGTGCAGGTCTTTAAGCAGATGTCCCTGCTCTGGCTTTGAGGGGTCTGAACCCAGAGTCTAGCCCTCGGCCTGTCCAGAGAGGAGGCATGAGCCAGGGACCTTGGCCTGGTCTGAGTGCCCACTGTCTGTGAAGTGGATGGGTTTGGCCACAGTTCTTCTGCCCTGAACACCTCCTAAAATTTCTCCCCAGGGGACCCGGCCACCTGTAGGCAGATCACCAATGCAGACACCATGAGGAATGTGGAATGGGACACAGCTACGTGTGTCCTAGGGTTTGGGGTGTTTGGTAAGTTGTGGAAAAGGAGGGTCCCACTGAGGACAGGAGGCCCAAGAAGCAGGCCAGACTGGTGCTTCCCCTGCCTCCTGTGGGCTACCTCCTTTCCCTTGTGTGGGCAGTGTTTGTGTAAAATGAAAGGGCAGAGTGAGCTGAGACCAGATGGGTGGTAGCCCTGGACCAGAGAGAGCCTCCCCGCCAGCGCCCTGGCCCCCTGTTCATTTAGACCCTGATGCAGTCCATAGGGACTGCCTGAGCACCTGTGGGCTGACCCTGGCCTGGGCAGTGACCGCAGCAGCCTCAGCCCTGCTCTCCTGAGCTCACAATCCAGTGAAGGAGACACACTTGTCTCCAGACGGGGATCAGATTAGGTAGTGCTGCAAACTGAACTGGGGTGGGGCGGTGGCTAGTCTGAGGGGGTTGGAGAGGGCTTCATGGAGGAAGAGACAGTTGAGCTAGGACCTGGAGGACGGAGAGGAGGTGGGAGATGGAGAACAGTCTGTAGGCAGGGCACAGCATGTGCAGAAGCCCAAAGGTGACAGAGAACTTGACACTGGAGAAACACAGGAAGGTAGAGCAGCTAAATCGTTGCGGAGTTCAAGGGGAGCATTGCTGAGGGATGAGGGAGGAGCAGTGGGTGGGGCTGGGCAGAGCCCAGAGGGTCAAGGTCCTGAGACCACCAGGGAGCCATGGAAAGATTTTGAGCTTGTAGAGGGACAGAGTCAGATTTGTCCCTTCAAAAGATAATTTGACTCCAATCCTCGATAGAGACCGTGTATATGGGTAGAGGATAAGGGGGTAGAGGATAATGGGGCGGGGCTGCTGTTCTTGGGAGTCCCTGGCCCCAGCTGACATCTTACCACTGCTCCCCATCTTGTCCAAAGGGATCTGGTCAGAGGGGGCTGATGGCACTGACATCAACGCCGTGGCCCGTTCCCATGATGGCAAGTTGCTGGCTTCGGCTGATGACTTTGGCAAGGTCCACCTGTTCAGCTACCCCTGCTGTCAGCCCCGAGTGAGTCCCTCTGGGTTCCATGGGGCCTGGGGTAGCAAACAGAGTTGGGGGGAAGATTCAGCAGGTTCTGAGTTGCCAAGAATGGCCTCTGAATTTGCTATCCTCCTGCCTCAGCCTCCCATGTAGCTGGGATTAAGGCATGTGTCACCCACCTGGTTAAAGGGCCCTTCTTAACCTGAAAGTCAGTGAACTTTAGGGCTGAAGATGTGGCTCGTTAAGGTTCTGAGCATCTGTAGTTCTGGCATCTTCGGTTCTTTTCTCCTTGTTAACTCAACAAATAATGAGCACCTACTTTGTGCCTGGGCAAAGTGGATATATCACTGAGCAAGACAACACGGTCACAGCCCTTATGAAGCTGACAGCCTAAGTGGCATGATGGTCCCAACATGATGCTCTAGGTTATTTAGATTTCCCAGCAGTCCTAGGACGAGGACCAAACTCCAGCCCCACAGGGCCAAACAGACAGTGAGAGTGATGGCTTGAGGCCGGGGAGCTGCTTACTCCCCAGTTTTAATGAGAAGCTGGTTCTCTGCAGCTGCATCTTACATGGTTTTAAAAGAGGCCAGAAATCAGGATTTTAATTTGAATTCTCTCAATTTTCCAATAATGTCCACAACTATGTTTCTAAAAACACTGAGTCACATTCAACTCATCCACAAGCCACCAGCAGCTAACCCGTGTCTAATCTAAGACCGGACATCGTTACTTTTTATGTTCACTGGCCCTAAGAAAAAATCTTGTTCCAAAATTTTATTGGGAAATTTTCACACATAAAAGCAGAGAAAATAGAACAGTGATCTCTCCTGGAACTAGTACTCGTGTTCCGCTATTATCAGATTTAGCATAGTTGTTTCTTCTTTTTCTTTTCTTTTTTTTAAACATATTTTTAGTTGTAGATGGGCACAATGCTTTTATTTAATTAATTATATTTTTTTACTTTTTTAAAAAATATTTTTTATTATTATTTTTTTTTAGTTTTAGGTGGACATAATATCTTTATTTTATTTGTATGTGGTGCTGAGAATTGAACCCAGTGCCTCATGCATGCCAGACGAGTGCGCTACCACTTGAGCCACATCCCCAGCCCCAATTTATTTATTTTTAATTGAAGCTGAAGTTTGAACCCAGTGCTTCACACAAGCCAGGCAAGCGCTTCTACCACTGAGCTACAGGCCCTGCCCTGTTTGTTTCTTCTTTTTCTTTCTTTCTCCCCCCACAATTTTTTTTTTTTTTTTTTTTTTTTTTTTTTTTTTTAGGGATCAAACCCAGAGCCTTGTGTCTGAGGAATACATGTTACACACTGAGCTGAACCCCTGGCCCCAGCATTCATTAATTTCTTTTTTAATACTTTTTTTAGTTGTTAATGGGCCTTTATTTTATTCATTATTTATATGCAGTACTGAGAATGGAACCTAGTGCCTCACACACGTGAGGCAAGTGCCCTCCCCTGAGCCACAATCCCAGCCCCTCATTAATTTCTTTTAATATTTTTTTTAGTTGGAGATGGACACACACCTTTATTTTATTTATTTATTTTTATGTGGTGCTGAGGATCAAACCCAGTGCCTCACATGTGAGAGGCAAGCGCTCTACCACTGAGCCACAATCCCAGCCCTCATTAATTTCTTAATGTAATCAAATACCCAGTTCCATATTAAAATAGTTATCCCATGGGGCTGGGATTGTGGCTCAGTGGTAGATCGCTTGTCTAGCACGTGCGAGGCCCTGGGTTCGATCCTCAGCACCACATAAAAATAAAATAAATACAATAAAGATATTGTGTCCAGTTACAACTAAAAAATAAATATTAAAAAATATTTAAAAATTAAATTAATTAATTAAATAAAATAGTTATCCCAAAATAACATTCCACAGTTTTTTGCTTTGTTTTGTTAAATTAGTATCCAAGCTGGGTACAGTGGACCTGTAATCACAGCAACTCTGGAGGCTGAGGCAGAAGGATCACAAGTTCAAGGCCAGCCTCAGCAACTTAGTGAGACCCTGTCTCAAAATAAAAATAAAAATAAAAGGGGGTGTGTGGTGCTGGTAGCTCAGTGGTAGATGCCCTTGGGTTCAATCCCTGGTGCTGGGAATAAAAAAAAAGAAAGAAAATGCTGGCTCCAAATATAGCATTTGCTAGAGTCTTGTTCTCTTTGTGAACAGTCTTCTGTACTCTCATGTTTATTTTTATGCCATTAACTTACTGGAGAAACCAGTATCGTTTCCCATTGATTTCTTATTAAAAAATAAATTAATGAATGCTGGGGCCAGGGGTTTAGCTCAGTGTGTAATTATAGGAAGGGTTATTGGTTCTAATTATAGGAAGAGAAAGGGGTTGGGGACAGGAAGACTGCAGGTGGCACTGCCCCCTCTGACCTTTTGTCCACTTCTTCTTCCCCTATAACAGGCTCTCGGCCACAAATATGGTGGACACAGCAGCCATGTGACGAATGTGGCCTTCTTGTGGGATGACAGTGTAGCCCTAACCACAGGGGGCAAGGACACCAGCGTGCTGCAGTGGCGGGTGGTGTGAACCCGGGGTCCCAGGGACGTGGGGCCGGGGTAGAATCAGGTGGCAGGGCTGGGACTCTATTTTCGGGAGATGTCTATTGCCGAGTAGAATAATATATACCCAGAGTTCGTCTATAGCAGAGGGGGTTATGGGGTCGGGGGTGAACTGACAGACAGAAGTCTCTATTTATCGGGGTGGGAAGAGGGGTCACAGTGCTTTGCCGCCATTGGTGTTTGGTTTGAGGTGTTTTTTTAAGTTTATTCTTTTATATCATCCAAAAATAAAGATACATGCACTGAGCCATGGTGTGTCGGTCTGTGTATTTGATGTGCGCATAAATTGTCATGAGTGTGTGTGGGTATTTATTGCACAGTGTGAGTGAAGGACTGTTATTATTTCGGCCTGTATTGGATACAAATGGCAGAAGTCATCTTGCTCTGTCTTGGGCCAAAAAAGAACATGGGGGACTGTGCTTGTGGCTCAGTGGTAGAGTACTCACCTAGCATGCACGAGGCACTGGGTTCAAGCCTGAGCACCACATAAATGTAAAATAAAGATATTGTGTCCACCTAAAACTTAAGAATAAATATTTAAAAAAAAAAAAAAGAACATGGTTGGCCCACATAGCCAAATAAGGAAGGGCAAGCGTGCCTCTAGATTTCAGAGCGATCAAGTCAGCATTTATCTTTGGGACCAGCATTCTCTCCACAACAGAAACATGGCCCCCAGTAGCTTCTAAGCTGAGATCAACCAGCTTTGAGCCCCAAGTCCAAACTTTCCACGGAGTTACTGTGATTGGCTCATCTAAAGGTCAGTCAATATGGCCCCCAGAGTGGTCTACTGTGAAGGGTTCCTGTTGGGGAAAGAACCAGCCCTGGACATGATTACAGCCTGGTAGGTGAGATTGTCTAAAAACAAGGGAGACTTCCTCTGACCCACAGGGTTGGACTGGGAGATGGAGTTTTTTTTTCTAGGAAGTGAGCTAAAGACCAAATAGATGTCTAGGAGATGAGGGGCTAGGATTGTGAGTTGCAAGGAACAGAAACCTGATACCATCCAGCATGACTGATAACAGGAGTTGCCAGATCATGGAATTGCAGAGTCCATGCAGGAGGGGCCCAGATGGATTCAGGGGGCTCAAATGTGATCACTGGGTATCCTCCTCTTGGGGATTTCTCAGCTTGGTATCTGCGCAACCTGGAGCAAGCTTTTTTGTTTTGGTGATGGTCATTGAACCCAGGACTCTCAAATGCTAAATATATGCTTCATCACTGAGCTATACCCACAGCTTCTAGATTTTTTTTACTCAACTTTTTTATTTTTTCATTTTATTTTTGTGTGGACTGGGGATCAAACTCAGGGCTTCACATATGCTAGGCAAACGCTCTACCACTAAACTGCTTTCCCAGCCAAAGTTTTTATTTTTTTTTCTCAATACTGGGGTTTGGGGTGGGGGGCTCTACCACTGAAGTACAATTTCAAGCCCCTTTAAAAATTTTTTTTCTTTTTGGTGGTTGTGGTGCTGGGGATTAAACCCAGGGCCTCAGGCATGCAAGGCAAGCACTCTATTAACTGAGCTATATCCCTAGCCCCCTTTTGCGATTTTGAAACAGGGAGCCAGGTGTGGTGGTACATGTCTGTAATCAGTGGCTGGAGAGGCTGAGGCAAGAGGATCAAGAGTTCAAAGCCAACCTCAGCAGCTTAGCGAGGCACTTAGCCACTCAGTGAGATCCTGTCTCTAAAATAAAATAAAATACAAAAAAGGTCTGGAGATGTGGCTCAGTGGTTAAACAACCCTGGGTTCAATCCCTGGTACCAAAAAAAAAAAATGTTTTTTTGGAAACAGGATCTACGTAGCTGAGGCTGGCCAGGAGGAATTCCCCATCCTCCTGTCTCAGCCACCAGAGTTGCTGGAATTGTAGGTGTGCCACCATGTTTAGTATTACTTTAACTTTCTTTCTTTTTTCTTTTCTTCCTTTTTTTTTTGGTACCACGGATTGAATCCAGGGGCACTTAACCACTGAGCAACAACCCCCAAACCCTTTTTGTTTATTTTCAGACAGATCCTCACTGGGTCACTTACAGTCTTGCTAAATTGCTGAGGCTGGCTTTGAACATGGGATCCTCCCATCTCAACTCCCAAAGCCGCTGGGATTACAGGCGTGGGCCACTGGGCCCAGCTCCCACTTTAACTTTCTATTGGTGTTTAGCACATATGTTGAGAAGGGCACACCTCATGTGTGTAGAGTCTGCTGAATTTTTACTAACTTAGTACATAATGCCCTGGCTCCCAGATGGAAAAACAACACCCCCAGCTCCCCCAGAAGTCCTTTTGCACCCCCTCCTAGTAATTACCCCTCTCCCAATACTGCTAGCCTGCTACCCTGCCTATTCACACCATAGAATAGTTTAAAACACTTTTTATTTATTCATTTATTTTAAAAAAATTTTTTTTCAGTGCTGGGATAGAACCCAGGGCCTGGAGCATGCTAGGCAAGCCCTTGCCACTTAGCCACATCCCCAGCCCCATTTATGTTTTAGAAAATTGAAGTTGGCACGCTTTCTGCAAAGGGCCAGATAGTAACTATTTTTGCCTTGTCAGCCAACCCAGTCTGTCACCACTAACTGATGTGGTGGGAAACAAACCCAGACTGGATTCAGGGATGAGCTGGGCTCCTTCCAGATAAAAGTATTTATGGATACTGAAATTTGAATTTCTTATAATTTTCACTTGTCACAAAATAGTAATGTTTAGATTTCTTTGGAATCACTTAAAAATAAAAATAAAATAAAATTTAAAAATAAAAACAAACTTGTGAGCCATGCAAAACCAGGCCACAGATAGGACCTGGCCCATGGTGGCACTTTGCCTACCTTTGCTTTAAATAGATGGAACCGTTCAGTGTGAACTCTTTGGGGTCCTCCTTCCTTTTTTGAGCAATTTTCTTGAGCTTTTAGGGCCTCAGTTTCCCTGTTTTAGATGGGATTAAAAGTACTTGTGTTGGGCTGGGGTTGTGGCTCAGTGGTAGAGCACTTGCCTCACCAGTGTGAGGCACTGGGTTCAATTCTCAGCACCACATATAAATAAATGAAGAAAATAAAGGTCCATCAACAACTAAAAAATATTTTTTTTATAAAAAGTACTTGTGTTAAGTAGTAGCTAGCAATGAGCAGTGAATGCCTCCCAAGGTCACAAGTGTTCTTTAAAATACTTTAGGGTCTTCTTCAAACTACTTCCAAAGTAGACAAGAATGAGGAGGGTTATAGTTAGTTTGTAGGCGCACTAAAGTAACCTCCGACCAGGTACTGACCCCAGCGCCCACGTTAACAAGGGATCCACTTGTAGATGAAGCGCACCCCTCCCCGCCCTGGGATAGCCACCTTGACAGTTCTGAAGGCCACCAACCAAGGTCAAAAACTCCACCTCCGGAGGTGAAGGAGGAGTTAACACCTGATCAGCAAAGAGTACAGAAGGTGGTCCCCAGCTCTCCTGGTAAACATAAAACTAATAAATTTGGAGGCAGCGTTGTCTCCTAGGTCATTCTCTGCACAGAGATGGCCCTCTCTCTTGAGCCTCACTTTGCTTATACTTTACTTTCACCTCATTTTCTCTTTACTTTCACTTACAATAAAGTTCTCTTTGGGTGTCTTTCAATTTTCTTTCCTCGGAACACAAGAACCCAGGTTTGGAGTTTCAGCGCATGCCTGTAATCCCAGACTGGGGAGGCTGAGGCAGGAGGATTACAAGTTCAAAGCCAGCCTCGGCCACTCAGGGAGGCCCTAAGCAACTTGGGGCCTTTGGTAAGTCCCTGTCTCAAAACAAAAAATAAAAAGGGCAAGGGAGGTGGCTCAGCGGTTAAACACCCCTGGGTTCAACCCCTGGTACCCCACCCCTCAATCTCCCAAAAAAGTACCTGCCTGATAAGGGGTCTGGGAAAGTTAAGTGACTTAAATACATGCATTTAGGACTTAAGTACATGCAGGGCGCATAAGAAGCACTCCAAAACTGTTAGCTCCCTTACGTCACAGAGCGTGCACCAGCACTGCCTCAAGCCACACTACAGACATCAAAGCAAGCAGAAGTCGTTTTCCCACAGGGCGTGTGAATCGTCAGGAGGAATCTGATTGGCTCAGCTTTGATCATGTGGCCACCCTTGAACCAATCTCTGTGGCCTGGGCAGTGGAGCCATATGATTGGTCAGGCCTGGGTCATGTGCTCACTGTTTTGAATGGGAGGGTTAGTACAACACCTGAGACCGACGGACACCACCCGAAACTCTTAAAGTGGGCAGAGAAATTCCCCCAAAGGAAAAAGGGTATAAAAACTTGTGAACAGGTGAGAGAGGTTACCAGCCATCTCAGCATATTTGTGTCACTTTGGGTTCAGACTCAATAATGCTTCTGGGCATTTGAAGATCCTTCTTCCCATTATCTATTGTTGCAGAACAAATCCCAGATTTAATAAAATAAAACGATCACTCGTGGCTCTGTTTAGCCATTCACCACCTACTGAAGGACTCGCGGGTGTCTCCAAGAAAGAGCCCATGATGATGTCATTCATATATGAAGGCCACCTGCCAGCAGAGTTCCTTTTAGCTGGAGGAGGTCAGTCTTTGGGCTTTTCAGGCCTTTAGCTGATTGGATGAGGTGGACCCACGTTATTGAGTGTAATCTGGTTCACTGGAAATCCAACTGATGCAAATGCTAATTTCATCCCCAATACACCCTCACAGAAGCAACCAGAATAATGTGGAGCCAAATGTCTGAGAACCACCACCCAGCCAAATGAACACCATGGAATTAACTATCATAAGTGGTCTCATGAGCTGGAGGGGTGATGCATGCCTGTACTCCCAGCGACTCAGGAGGCTGAGGCAGGAGGATCTTGAGTTCAAAGCCAGCCTCTGATACCTAGTGAGGCCCTGTCTCAAAGTAAAAATACAAAGGACTTGGGATGTGGCTCAGCAGTCTAGCGCCCCTGGGTTCAATTCCTGATATGTATAAATAATAAATAGATAGATACATAAGTAAATATATAAATAAATGGTCTGGGGATGTAGCTCCTGGGTTCACTGCCCTGGGTTCAATCCTCAGTATTGCAAAGGAGGAAAAAGTGGTTTCATGAGGGGCTGGGGTGTAGACCAGTGTTAGAACACTTGTCTTGCATGTGAAGGCTCTGGGTTTCATTCCCACCCCTGGAGGAGGAGAAAATGCAAATGGTTTCACAGGGAGATTTAGCTGATAGCCATTGGAACCAACTGGTGCCATCAAGCAGTTGTCTAAGGAGCACCAGAGATCA